TGCGCCACTGGTAACATATGGTCTCAAGTTATGGAAACTTGCCAGTTGTGCATTTCCGTTTGGTGTTTATGACATAATGATATGTCATTAAACTAATTCTATATGTATGTAGATCGATGAAATCGAATGCGCAAACCACGACCAGTACCTTTTCACCCATCACAAAAAGAACTATAACAGGTCACGCCTTTGCAGTGACGTGCACTACAATTGAGAAATTAAAACATAAATTGAAATCTTCAGCCTTATGAAAACTGAATTTACTCGTACATGAAACGGATTATTTAAATCACTAACGATGCTGTAATAAGAGATGTGAATAAATATCACAAACAATTATCCCATTCAAGTAAGTAATTACTTATGATTTTTGGAAGTTATCACATACGACCATGCCATCTATTTGTTCTCTGGCTGTCATCGTGACATTATCGAAAGCTTGTTTTCAGCTATAATACTTTTTTGTTTGTTTAATATTTATCTAATATGATTGCTACAATTACATTCTTTTAAAAAACAACAACAATTACATAACATACAAATATTCAGAAAAATAAAACTTGCATCTCTAAAAAAATTTAATGTCTATGGAATGTTCCTTCATGTTTCTTTTAAGCATCTCTAAATAACGAGTAATTAAATACAAGTATTCCCTTTTGAAATATTGATTTGCTATTTGTAAATGGAAATCTATATTTTTTCTTGTTTAATAATTGTGATAATGATTATTCAATTCAATGTAATGTTCTAGATGTTGTGGCAAAGATGATTTTTTATTTTAAATGTGACTACAGCTTCATTGGCAGTAAACATGACAGTTGAACAACATAGTAAATGCAGTTGAATAATTGTATTATACAGTATTTTTTGGAATTTGTGCTATGAAAAGTCCTATAAAAGTAATTTGTTGTTTTTTGCATTTATTTAAATAATGGATTCATAGTGATCCTCAAACTTTAGCTTACTATCAATGACATCAGAAGTGGTACAACAAGAAAAAATAATTTTTTCAACTTGATTTTTTGACAATGAAGTAGTCTTACATCAAAAATGAAACGATAACATTCTCACCAAAATTTATTGACAAGTAATTAGAAAAAAATAATAATGTACTGGGCGACCCCGCAGCTAAATGCACTCCTATATACGTCTAGGCATCGAGAAAATAAGATGATCGATGATTTAAGTCCGGTGAACGGCAAACCATTAACGCCTGCTTCTTCAAGAAAGTCCGTAGTACGACGTGCAACATGACGACGTACGTTGTATTGCTGAAAAAAGGACGTGTAGACGGCCCTCTAGATATAGGAGTAAAGATATTTTTATAGCCCCCCAAACCATTACTCCAACAGTCCTTCTACGACCCTCATGCGTACCTAGACAGAATCGCAATTCGTCGCTGAAGATGTCATTATGTCATTCTGCCTCCCAATGTTGCCGTTCTCTGCTCCAGTTCAAACGTTGACGACAGTGGTCCGCAGTCAAAGAAAGCACTAACCGTGGACGGTGTGAAAAAAGTCCAAAGGCTCCAATGTGGCGATAGAGTGGACGCATGGTAATAGGTCTTCCTTCTTCTCCAAACCATTGGTCATCGATATGACGGGTAGTAGCAAAACGGTCTCGTAGGACTAGTTGTCTGAAGCGCCTATCTTCACGCCCTATGGTACGCCTCGGTGGACTAGATGTGTTCCTTTAACTTCTTCTATCCACACACGAAACACACGTATTACCGTCATTGTAGTACAATTAATACGGCGGCCAATTTCGCGATAGGACAAACCAACATCTCGATAGGCAATAATTCTACCCATGTCAAAGACGCTAAAATGGTGATAATTTGGATGTCTTCAAACTTGAGGCATTTTGTTATGCTTAACACTAGTAAATGAAAGCGCAATAACTAAAAATATCTGTACTACTCAGCTCTCAGAAACTGCGTTCTCCACAAAAACTAAGAGATAACATTTTAACAAAGGTAAACAAAGAGAAAGACGTTGACATTGTTCTTATAGCATGCTTTAATAGTCATTAGGTTGCCAAAAAAACAATTTGAAGAAATTATTTTTTCTGGGTGTAGCACTTCTAATGTTACTGAGTATATATACAACCGCGATAGTGTTTCATTTAGGAATTTCTTTAATAGCATACATTTGTTAAATGAAGCATTAGATTTTAGATTATTTACGTTCATTCAATTTATAATTTTTGACAACTCAGAATTTAGCATATTTAAAGCAGTGTCTATATTTTCATCTGATAGGTATATTAATGCATCATCTGCAAATATCTGAATTTTACAATAATCTAAAATATCACAAATTTTATATAAATATGTACAAAATAAATAGTAGTGGGTCCAAATTACTACCTCGCTGTACACCAACATACATATTTTTTGATCTCGATAATGAAGATCTAATTTTCATTCTTTGACTTCTGTCAATTGAGTAGTTTTGTAGAATTTTGAATACAGATCGTTTAAAACCATAGTGTTGCAATTTTGTAAGTAATTAATCACTGTCAATAGTTTTAAACGCCCTTTTGAAGTCCAAAAACTCTGTTGCTTTATGTTTATTATTATTCAAACAATCGAGTCCTGTAAAACCATCTGTATTGCCGTTTCACTTGAGTGTTTCTTCTTGAATCTTGCTTGAAATTTGGTTAAAATACTATTTTACCCGACTCTCTCAAAAGGAGCGCTATGTTTTCCATGTGTATAAGTATGTATATGGGTATGTAGTCAAGACTAGTTTTCTTTCATGGGCTACAGCAGTGTTCCCCATACTTTTTTGTGTCGTAGACCCCTTGCCATGTTTTTCCGTGTTGGGTAGACCCCCTACTTACCTGATATTGATTTCCTGTAAATTTCTAACTGTAGTGAAGTTTAGTCTTAAAAACTCAAACTACAAACACATGTTAATTTATACATTTATTAATTGAATTTAAATTAAAACTACTCAAAATAAAATTTAGTATCTGTTATGTAAAATATACGTAACATTAAATAAACAGGTGTCTGACCAATAAGTGCCAGCCTTGGGAATAAGTGCCCGCATTGAAAAAAAAATAAGAGGGATAAAATAAAAAAAGAGAAAAATAATAAAAAAAAAGTTTTTTACTTAAAATAGTACAATAAGCGAGTTCGTTTATTAATTATAACACAAACGTATGTTCTACAATAATTTCACTGTTAGTTTGATTAAATTCCGCTTCTTATACGTTTAAATTATCTAAAAATAGGCAAAAAATTAACGAATTTTAGTGTGTACCTATCCTTGAATTTTCAGAATAATTTAAAAAAAAATATTTTCTATAAAGGGGAGTTCTTTAAAAAAAATCAATGCGGTCACTTATTTCCAATGCGGGCATTTATTGGTTAGACACCAATAAACATAAAATAGACTATAAATAAAATAACATAAGCAATAAGTCAATATTTTTAGTGAGAAGGATGCTTTAATAATAAATTATCAACATTTGGCGTCAATTTTGTAAGGGTTAATCTTAAATAATAATAATAATGCCTTTATTAACTGCAGTGAGGCGAAGTTTAGCCAGACGGCTACTCTTACACTCAACCCCACAACAGGAAAAAGAATACTTACACACATAAACAAAATAATTACATACCAAAAAAAAATACAATTCATAAGAATGACAACATTGATTGCACGAAACAAATGCAGATAACATTAGCTCGGCTAATGATGTCCAGTCTGTTTCTTTTTTTCGTTAGGAGATTGGTAACAGCGCTGAACCCCCTTTCCACTAGGTATGAGGATGGAAAGGAAATTAAAAATTTCCTCGCGATATACGGGATAAGTACGGGTATGTTGTTTTGCAGCCAGAATTGCTGATATCCGTTTTTAAACTGAACCTTAAATTCTTCGTTTGTACTTAGTTCAGTCAGTTCCTCTTGTATTATGACATTCGTTTCTTCTATGTCACCATATGGATTAATTATCCACGGTGGTATTACCATAGTCAAAATATCCTCAAACCTAGATTCAAAATATGAATAGAGGGCATTTAAATGTTGAACGTAAGTTGAAACGTCGTCTTCCTGGCAGCTTGTCTGTGACAAATTCACTCCGTCCAATATTTTGCTTCATTAGTTTAACTCTGGCAAGAAACGCTGATAAGATGGACTTTATTTTAATCAAATTTAAACTGTCGCCTTGTAATTGCAAATTAACCATATTAAATTTTGTAAACAAATCTGTTAAATTGGCGATGTCTGTTTTCCTCTTCATTAAATTTTCTTTTAAAATTTTATCTTTAGTATCCAGAAATTCTAAAATAGTCTCAAAAAGTGCAAAAAATCTTGTCAAACATAAGCCTTTCGACAGCCAGCGTACTTCAGTGTGAAGGAGTAATTGATGAAAGTGTTCTTCATTTTCTTCACACATCTGCGCAAATAACCGCGTATTCAACGCGTTGCTTCGGATTCGGTTTACTGCATCAATGACTAAATGAAGTGATTCATGCAATCTAACACTCAAATTTTTAGCAACTAAATGTTGTCGATGGATGACGCAATGTATTGCTAACACCCCTGACACATTTTGTTTTAAATAGCTTATAAATCCACGATAACGTCCAACCATGGCTGATGCTCCATCTGTAGCTACTGATATTATATTTGATAAAGGAATTGTCTTTTCAATGAAGTAATCCTTCAAAAAATGAAATATTGATTCACCTTTAGTGTCGGTTATCAAAGTTCTTGCGAAGAGCAGTTATTCGTAGATTTCTTGATTCATAATAAAACGAACATATGCCAATAATAATGCTGCATTATCAGGTAAAGTTGTCTCGTACAGTTGTTTAGAGAAATGGGTCGTTTGCAAATAATTACATAAGAAGCTTTCAATATCAGAACTCATTTCATCAATACGTCTTTCAACAGTATTATTGCTTAAGGAAATTCTTTTAATGATATCAGATGCAGGTTTGTGTAAAACAGTTTTTAAAACCTCTTCAACGGCTGGCAAAATTACCTTCTCTCCGATAGTATGCGGTTTTCCGGATTTTGCTATAAGTAACGAGATATTGTAAGACGCCCGCAAACCATCATCATTTCTTTGTGACGTCGAAGCGAACATTCTGTCCAGTGTAGGTCTCTTCTGAAATTTATCTTTGAGTGTTTGAAAGTATTCCAAATCTTTCTCTGTTTTATCAGGGTGGCATCTTCTCAGATGATCTTGCAGTTTAGATGGTTTCATAGCGTCATTGCCCAAAACTTTGTTGCATAAAAGGCACATAGGCGATTGTTTGTCCGGCAATGATGAAATGAAGCCAAATTTCAAATAATCAACACTGCCTACATTTCTTTTTAGATTCGGACATGGCATCAGTCATCTGTGGGCAAAATTAAATTATTTAAATAACAAAATCCAGCAGCTGTATATTAAAAATATTTTTTGATTTTTCCGAAAACATTCTATAATTCGAACATCTTCTTGCAACAATTGGCTCGAATTACGGAGATTGCACTGTAATTATATTACCGATTGCTAAAACTTTCAAAAAGAAACTATTGAGGAGTACTCGTGTAATTTTGCATGATTGAATATTTAACTACTAATAACTAAAGTCATGATTGGCGTCATTTATCTATCTTTGCTAACTACGAGTACAAAACTAAAATTTAATAAAAAATAATGTACTTACTTTTCTCCAGCACTCTCAAACAAAATAACACTGACTCACCATAATTTGTGTGATATACTATCTGTTTATATTTTTTTAAATATTTTCTTAGCACTTTCCTTTTCAAGATTCAGGAAACGAATAAACGTATTTGTCCCACATTCGTATTTATAGAGTGACGAATTGAACAAGTCAGTGCAAGGTAGCGACGCTCTGAGACTACGACTCTCAGGTTTTTACAAGTTCAAAATGTATTGCGACCACAAAGCGAATACCAACATCCTACAACTTACACAGTTTTATAAAGATATACAGGGTTATCCAAATTAAGTGTCCACCATTAGTAACTTTGTTATTAGTGAAAATACAAAGTTGTTTGAATTAGCAAACTAGTAGCATTTTTAACGCTGGTAAAAATGAGAAATAAAAAAAAACAATTGATAGTCGTTATTTTGATTTTTTTCAGTAAAATAACATTTTTTTAAATGGAAACCCCTGTATATTATATTTTTTTCTGTTAAAGCATCAAATTTTAAACAAAAAAGCTCACAATAACTTTTCTCCTAGGTTACAAATTGTTGAAGTTATGGCCTCCAATCTGAAACAATTAAATTGTATCGACAAACTTTATTTTCAACATCAACTTATAATCTTACAAAATACAATAACAATTTTTTTAAAGAAGATGCTCGCAAACACCACCTTGTTCTTCAATACATTTTTGGGCACGTTTTTCAACTGCTCGAACTGTCTTAAGTATGGTCCTACCATCTATCTGGGTTATCTTTTCCCTAACTGCAGTCTTTAACGCGTCAAGGTTATCGTACCTTCGCTTGTAAATTTGGTTCTTTAAGTAACCCCACAAGAAGTAATCAAGTGGGTTTAGATCTGGTGATCTGGGAGGCCACTGTATTGGGCCATTTGTTCCTATCCACTGATCATTAAAAGTAGTACTTAGAAAATGATAAGTACCTCTGGAGTTGTGGGCAGGTGCGCCATCTTGCTGAAAATGCAGATGATGTCTACTTATAAGATCCAATTCGTCTAAGAAATTAGTCAGAATTTCTGACATAAATTCCACATATCTTTCACCAGTTAGGGTTCCCTCATAAAAGAACGGGCCAACAATTTTTGAACCAATTATACCGCACCAAACGTTGAAACTGAAACGGACTTGTGGGCCTCTTGGATGTACTAACAAAAGATTTTCTCTTGACCAATAATGGTGGTTTTTTCTATTAAACATTCCAGAATTTGAAAAATTTGATTCATCTGTCCATAAAAGGTAACGAAAGTTATTTACATTTTGGCGACAAAAGCTAAGATACCAATGGCAAAAAACAAGTCTTCTCTCTGGATCCCCTGCCAAAAGCGTTTGAACTGGTCGGTACTTATACGGAATAAATTTGTATTTTTTTAAAATCCTTTGAACAGTACCATAACTGAAATTAGAGTCCTTGAGAATATCTGCTATTGAATTCTCACGATAAGCTTCAAAATATCCAATAACTGCAATTTCCGTGGCCTCGCTTATTATGAATTCTTTTTTTGCCCTTGTTTTAGCAAAAACATTTTCGTTGCCCCTAAATTTTCGATAAAGTCTCAGAAAATATCGTTCATACGGTTGAATGCGAGCGGGATATAATTCACTGTAGTATTCTCTTGCTCTCAAGGAGGATTTTCTGCACACTAAATAGCATTCTAACATATCACACTTTTCTTCATGGGAGAACATTTTTCTTTAAATTAATGACACAATAAAGCTTATAAACAAGTATTTACACTAATGTTTGACATTATTTGATTTTATCATTGTTTTCCAAAGCCTTCTAGTTGCGAGTATGTCCAGTTTAACAATTTGTCGCTTATCTTAATGCTGTCAAATCGCGAACGCCATGTTGTTTTCATAGCCGTCTTAATATTATAATACTGCAAATAATTAAAAATATTTATCGTTATTTTGACTTCATTTTTGACTTTAGCGGAAAAGTCATTATGAACTTTTTTGTTTAAAATTTGATGCTTTAACAGAAAAAAATATAATATACAGGGGTTTCCATTTAAAAAAATGTTATTTTACTGAAAAAAATCAAAATAACGACTCTCAATTGTTTTTTTTTATTTCTCATTTTTACCAGCGTTAAAAATGCTACTAGTTTGCTAATTTAAACAACTTTGTATTTTTACTAATAACAAACTTACCAATGGTGGACACTTAATTTGGATAACCCTGTATAATAAATTTTTTACTTCATAGGTACTTTTATAAATAATGTATATGTTTTGATATTATAAGATTGTATGATGTAAGTAAATAGGTACTATCAGTGTATGTGTTGAGATCCACTATCGTGGACCCCCATATTCATTTCATGGACCCCCAAATTTTTTTTCGCTGACGTAGACCCCTTGCAGGTTGTCATAGACCCCTAGGGGTCGATATAGACCACTTTTGGAATCAATGGGCTACAGGATTTGATGAATTTCGGCATATGAAGTGTTTTTAGATTCGTCTTAACAGCGCAAGCAACACTGGTTAAGTTATATTAGAATTTTATAAAATAAAAATGGTGGATTTAGTCTTCTTCTTAATGAGCCACAGCCAATAGGCTTCATGTATTTTAACATTTACGCTGCCCTCACATGCGTGTTGATAGCACAATTAAGATTTCATTCATTTCAGCTGCTGCAGTCGGGTTTTTTGTATTTTTGCCCAACTGAAAAATTCTATTCAACGGGCTGCAGTTGAAGCTACCTGATAAAATTTCACATACGAGGTGTTGTATTCGTCTCAATGTGCGAATAGCACTGGGGTATAGTAAAATTTCAGAAAATCATAATGATGAATTTTAATAAAAGATTTGAAACTTAAAATTCCTATTTCACGGATTACAGCATGAGCGGCTTGATGGATGTTAATATTTGCACAACTAAAGCTGCATTCTTTTCAGTTACTGCAGTCGGGTTTTTGTATTTTTTGAAAATGCACTTGTCACAGCCAGAAGTGGCTACTGTACTATAATAATTATTGTAGCTTTTATATCGCTTTTTTATTGTACTTCATTTTAAGTTTTCTACCTACAAAGAATATATGATACATGGCAAAATTCGCATAAGCCTAATATCAGAATGTACAACATATACCGGCCGGAAATATTATGTCACCAATCAATGTCTCATCACATCCTATTGCACATTCCAAGAACGAACACATTTATGCATCATTTAATATTGTACCTATATCGAACGGAAAACCATCACTGAATGAATATACTATGCGCTATTATAAAAGCTCTTTTGATCAATCGATATGCCGCGTCTAATAGAAATTCATTGCGCTCCGCTCGTCAATCAAACGCATATCGGCCCTTCTTGCCGAATTTTCTGTCTGTACTGTTGCATGTCCATTGAATTTTTATTCGATACGGAGACACCGTATTCACATAACCGACCAGTGGCGTATCTTTGTTTTTTCTTTCTGATATTTTGAAGAAAAGATCCCCATTAAATGTATTAAACAAGTCATAAATCACCATTCCCAAAAATGGCTTCTCTATTATTATTTCAACATCTATTATTGAAAATAAATGATTATTTCAAAAAAGTTGCTGAACTATCAGCAATGGTCAAGAAGGAGCTTCTAAAATATGTCTAGCACGATGACAGGCAGTATAAATTCTCGCGTCAGACTAATTTTTTCCAGTAGCTTGCAAAGATTCATGTCGTTGCTACATTTCTCTTGATATTACCAAGGTTTTCGGTCAGCTTAGCAAACTGCACTACTGAAGCAAGCTTCTGGAAATCTTCGTACTAAGGTTTTTCCAGGCAGCTTTGCTAAGGGCTAAAGGACTGTCCCAGGTATCCACTGTTCAAATATCTTCGTTATTAGATATACACCAAAATGAGCCCTGATAAGAAAGTTGAACCAATTTTTATTCAGCTAAAAGATCTGCTATACGGTCCACATCTCAATGTTCAATAATAGCTGGAATGGCTAATTGGTGAGTTAGGTCGATTCTTTTATATGTTGTTGAGTATTGGACAAACTGCGAAATATTATGAATAATAATTCAGTTTAGGTAGTTGCAGCATGAAATAAGATAAGAAAAACTTCGTAAGTGTTTTATAGGGTTGCAGTGTCTGACCAATCTCGGCCACCACGTCATACAATAAAAATAAGTTAAGGGCCGATTTCTCCAACATTAATATTATGGACCAATGGGAAAATACCTTATAGAAATGCAATTTGACAGAAGCTGTCAAAGGTCTCAGAATATCAGTGATTTCTATTAAAATATTGAATAAAATCGTGAAAGTTCGACTGTATTATAAACAAGACCACTTCTTGATTTCAACATGATGCTTTTGTACAGAGAAAACAGGTCAACTTTCATGTATTTTGATTTGTGTTATAAATTTACATTTAACAATCAGTTATCCCCAAAAGCCAATGGGAATGCGGCAAATAATAGGTCGATTTTCTAGCTGTTAGATTTGGACGTTTGTTAATGCATGACAATCTTGAATTTAAGTTTAATATACTGTTATCATTACATCCCTGTTGAATAGTGTG